ATTATTTTCCTTAATCTTGAGACCTTTGCAGCCTTTACCCAGCAGGTTTCTCTATATTTGGATATACCTTCGCAATTTTGATATCCTGTGACTATTTTTACTTTTATGTTGGCCTCTTTTTTTTGTTCGTCTCATGCAAAGTCCTTTTTTCTTACCTTTCTTTCTCGAGTCTATTGATTTCATTGCTTTAATGTCTTCCACTCTTTCGACTGTTATCATGTCTTTATTCTTTTGTCGCAACCCGTCGGTAATTTGCGCCTCATGATAAAAATGTTTTCTTTTTTTCATTCCTTTTCGTCCTGATCTAATTGTGCCTCTAGCTTACAACAAACGATATTACAATGAAGACAAAAGACAAAACTAATGTAAAGTAATCATATAAACCTCATTGCTTTCAACAATTCGAGACATCTTTTTCAGGAATATATATGTTTCTGTGTGAGAGCTATGTCTCCGCTTGTACAGACGACTACATGTCAGTGAAGTTATATTAACGCCTTTTGATTTGTGAGGTGTATTTATATGAGGTGAACACATTCATTGAAAATAGGACTGCTGAAAATACAAAAAAAGACACATATACGACTACGTGAAAGTGTACCTCCATCTTGCTGTCAATATAAATGCATATAAATAAAAATGTATGTATTTCCCCCTCTAACTCTACATTCGTGAACAACCATATTTTCAGATATTATTAAGCTATACTTAATATATTATTACAACTTTCTATATCCGTGTTCTGATATAGAGAAATCTCTGGCTTTTTATATTAAGAAATATGGCGAGTATATTCGGTCTTAACACAATACATCGAAATTTGGCCTGACGTCAATGTTTTCTTCCGCCAATACCGTAATTTGTATATCTTTGTTTCATATTGGATCTTGGAAATGTGAAATTGTTTAGAATTCCTTTTAGATGAATATTATTATTTTCTTTCAGATTAGTTTCAACTGGTTTTCTCTACTTCGAGCGTCATTGTAGAATCTCAAAGAAAATGGCCGACCAAAAAAGAAAAAAAAGAAAAAATCTAGCCAAGACAATCTGAATAGGTGCAATAGAAATGAACTGAAATCTAGACAAAATATATCCTAGTCAATACTTAATAATTGATTACGATTAATCTTCTCATAGAAATGTAAGATAATAAAAAAAATTATTTAATAGGAATTCATTTGCAAATGGTATCTTCAGTTTTAGGAATGGGCAAATCTTTGAAGGAATTCTTTAACAACTTCATTTTATATTAAATATGGTAATAGCGGAAGCATTTTCAATTATAATTAATTATATTTAATTAATTAACTAATACCTCTATCGCCTTAATCTCAGTTTACTTTTTATTGTAACTTTTTAAACCGTACTGATATGGCGTTTTTAGAGAGTCTCAAACATTTAGAAAAACTAATGGTAAAAAAGCTTAGTCTGAAATTAATAATGGCTGACAACGTTTCCTCCAAATAAAGCTATAAATAATAAATATTTTTGAATAAAATATCAGATCTCTATAGGGTTAATGGAAAATGCAATAAATTTCACCCTTTTTATGACTGAGAAAATAAATAAAAAAGTACTTTAAAATGTGTTGTTTCGGTTGAAACTTTACGATCGAAATAACCAATAGATGTCCAAACAATTAATGGAGTAAGGCAATAAAATTTGAAAGTTCTGACCCAAATTATTGAAAAATCTCTAGCTGAAGAACTTAAGCCATCGCGCCACAAAAATCTTACATTGTTTGTTATTACTAAAAGGTTGTTGATATCACTAAAATTCTGTATATTATGTTCTGAATGCGGTATCTAAAAGTATTCTCAGCGCGCGTACTTTTGTATCGACGATAAAATATTAAATGATGCCGAACGTAATATGTCAGCGCTTACCGACCTTAGACTAATCCCTTGTAACTTTACCACATTTGTGTACATAGCAAGGATTTATTTGTAAAGCAATATATTGTCTGTATTCTCTTTTGCTGTATTCTCAATCATCAACAAAGAACCAATACATTTGGGTTCGAACTGATTCACACCAAGTACTTAATACGCAAGTTAGGTCAGAAAATTTAGTAGATCATTATTTTAAAGAATGTAAAGAAGAGAAACTACGAAGGAAAATGAAATTTCCTCATCACTTGCCTTATACTAAAATTATTTCGTCGTCTTTTAGCGTTTCGATAGTAAGTCGTAGCTTGTAAAATGTAAAGTTAAATTTATTCACAAACAGATGAAAAAAGAAAAAAATGACACCCACCTCGCAAAGATTTGTTCATCGTGTTGCCCGGTATAGAATCGCACAATGGAGAAAAAATATGAAAATTTTAATCTTTATTGTATACCAGAATTAAGTATATTGGTTCATATACGTCAGAGCTTAGCTTGGAACAGACTATATTCTTTTATTGGGAAATTGATTTCAATGTTTCTTTTATGTTTGTTTTAAAATTATTTATGCCATCTTCAAAAAAAAAATGGTTGTGTGTTGAGACTACGTTTCTCTTTCATTTATCTCTCTCTTGTTCTTTCTTTATTTCTTTCTTTCCATCTCTCTCTCTCTCTCTCTCTCTCTCTCTCTCTCTCTTGCCTCTCTAATTGATGAAGGCATTTTATAGTGAAGTAATTGTCGGAACTGTTATGTGATATCATTCCTTTTATATGGCAGTAACACTGGGCAGTATCATAACAGACGAAGAAAATTTTTTGAGGCAGCAGACATTTTGTTCTACAAAAGGATGTTGAGAATACAATGAACTGAAAATTTGAGCAACGACATTTTAGAGAAAAAGAAAACAAAATGACACTTATAGTTTGCATCAGAAAGGGACAATTGAAATTTCTAGGGTACACAATGAGAAAAGAGTGCATAGAAAATTTACACTGACAGGATGTATGGAAAGCAAGAGGGGCAAATGAAAACAGTGCATAACTTACCTATCATATTTGTGTAAATGTTTAGAAGTACAGGGATTAGGAGTGATAGCAAAAAGTCAAAATTTACTGAGAGCTATTAAGTCTAGGAAATTGTGGAGAGCCATGATCACCGATGTTGTGAAAATCAGGTACATTTTATCGTGTATCCAATATGAAGCAAAACAAGATATTTTAATGACATCTTCATTTAGATCTAAAAAAGAAAAAAAAAGCATGGATAAATACTATTATAAATTATTATTAGGATAACAAATATTAATTTAAAATATCTTGCCTATTTATGATCGTTGTAAGCTTTCTAAGAGGCACGGTAGATTAATGAATAGCAGCACGTATTCAGGAATCGGAGAGCCGAGTTCGAATTCTAATCGAATTAATTACATTCACTTACGTGCTAATACCCTTGGGAAAGGTATTAATCCTTTTCTTCTCACATCCACCCCATCTATAGGTAAATAGCAGTTCAGACGGAGTTCTATAGCCTTGGATAACAACTGGTCTACCGCAGAAAGATATGGCAACCTACTGCAGGCCAAAAAAAAAAATCTGCCTCGTTAGTCATGTATCGGAAGATAACATGATCACCTAAGCATGTATCACGCATGGCACATAAGCTTTCTAATGCAAGACAATTTTCTTACAAACCACTTTAAATCATTTGTTATTGATATGGCATTATGTTTGGCTATGATAGTAAATATATACACATCATTGTTGTTTAATTTCATTGACTTTTTATGTGAGTTGGCGGTCGGTACCTCAGACCATAAGATAGCATAACATCTGTAAAACATTGTGGTATAGTCATAATGTATGTAGATGGCAGTAAAACTGATTTATAACACAGAAGGGCCCTCATAAATTTGAACATAAAAGCAATTTTGCGCCCTTATATTCACCGAGGTATCGGATCGCAGGCGGATATAGCTGAACTGCGGATTTTTTTTATAAACAACTAGATAAAAAAAAACAAAAAAAAAAACAGGGGGAATGTTTTGAAAAAGAGGTGGCTGGAATTTTACATATCATTTTTATAATTTTAAGTAATGACTCGCATTAAGCTAGAAAGCCTGAATCCTAAACTAAAGAGGAGTTGGGATTTTCTAAATGTTTTAATAAATGGTGCGCGTGTCTTGGGTGGAATTTTTCAACGGGGAATAATAATAATAATAATAATACTACTACTACTACTAATAATAATAATACTAATAATAATAATAATATATAGGACCTATAACATTTTTATTGGACTTTACAATACACACAGAGAGAACAATCAAAGCTAATCGTCCAGACAGTGTAATCAAAGTCCACAGCAAAATATTGTTTTTTTTTTTTTTTTACGACATGGCAGACACTGCAGATTCTAATGGATCTTTGAAGATATTCAAAAAACTAAAAAAATACATGAATCTTCAAGTTTAAATCTAAAAAAATGAGGTACGTGATGACATCAATAATTCCCGGTGTAGTTGGAGCCTTCGGATTGATTGTGAAAGACTCCTGATAGCCCAAACCTCAAAGAAATGCAAAACATTGTATTCACAAGAACAGTTCACACATTAAGAAGTGTTTGATCTATGTAAAATATAATGAAGCCATTTCTAAACTTAGATCTCTGGTTAGGACCCGGAAATGAAATGTGTACACAGCACAAATCAAGAGAAAGTAATAATAATAATAATAATAATAATAATAATAATAATAATAATAACCCTGGCTCCTTTATTTGAAACGAAATGTTATCTGTATATTGTATTATTTACTGTGTACTCTAAAATTCATCACATCTGAATCTTTGTACGTTTATCCATATCCACACCTCCAAATACGCCTACCTGTATGGCAAATATATATATATATATATATATATATATATATATATATATATATATATATATATATATATATATAAGGATTGATTAACGCCTCCACACGCCCACCAGTTACCTTCTTGATACGAAGTGGTTTGCGAGTCTCTGTAATTACTTTGGGCTTCCTGTTACATGGTTTCATCGGTCTATAATCAATATTCTTCCACGTGTCATCAATAATGGCCAGCATTTAATGTGCGGACGTGCTAACGATTACATCAAGCAGGTTTTCAGCTTCTTGGCTTTTTCTACCCAATCATTTCCTCTCTATCTCTCATTATCGCGCCTCACCTTCTCTCTCTCTCTCCCTCTCTATCTATCTATCTATCTATCTATCTATCTATCTATCTATCTCTTTCTTTTCTCACTTCATATTTCTGTTATTTTAAACACTTCTTTTGCCGTTTCTCAATCTTGCTGTCTCTTGCTATTCTTTTCGTTTAGTTTTTATTGTCTCTCTTCTTTTTTGCTCAATGCTCTTGTGTACGAAATAAAAATGCCGGGACGCTTAAATTATTAAATATAAATTTCTAAATAAGTATTGAATTTAATTTGTTATTTAATTGTAATGAACATTCGTGACGTAAAATGTGACTTTCCGCAGCTTCCTATATTTTTTTTTATTATGCCTGAATTGTCATAAATCTTAGGAAAGATAGAGTAGATATCCCCAAGTTTTTCCTCGGTTTCGAAATCAGATGTTCCTTCTCTGAGATAGGTTGTCACGCAACCTATCCTATTATTTAAGTTATATAGAGAGAGGGAAGGGAATTCATGCCTTCTTCTAAGGGGCTAATTTAGTTCCGGTTTCTTGACTTCCTGCCACTCACAATCTTCAAAAATTTAAATGCAGCGCCAATTGCCCTTTTATGTTTTTCTAAGTCTTGTACTATTATTGACAATTCTCCTTGTCTTCTCATTGCGTCTTAGTGGTTTTATCGCCTTGTTTGAGTTGAAATGAATTAAAAAAATACATTATGAATTTAAGCTCAGCACTAGATGCGCGGCAAGTTTTCCATATTTTACATTTGAAATTGCTAAATGTAGACGTACGTCCTATGTTAAAAGTTTGTTCTCGTTATAGAAGTTTGTTCTCGTTATAGAAGTTTGTTCTCGTTGTATCTCGTTCACAGTTCTCGTTACAGAAAGTCTCTTCGGGCTACTTGCTACCTAGTCAACTTTGCTCTTCAAGAATTTATCGGCAATGTCAATCGTTATATTCTGTAATCTTAGTTGTTGTAGATTTTTATTTATTGTTCTTCCTCATTAATAGTGCTTTTTTTCGTCAGTAGCTACTTGCGTCTTAGTGGATTTATTGCCTTGCTTGATGGGAAATTATTAATTTGTTTGGCTTTTTTTAAAAATACGAGATTAGATTTTGATCGCATTTCGCTGATTCCACTTTCAATGTCGATATCTATTATGCTAATATTCTTATTCAGTTACTGAAAAATACCCAGCGGCATGAATATTTTAGACGGCACCTGTATTTGCGAGGGGAGATTAATTCGTTTTGTATTTTTAATCAATTATATTTACTTCGCTTACTTCTCTAAAACATACATTTGTTTTTCTTTAATTCTTTACCGTCTCTCCAAACCACTTTCCGCTTCTTCTCCCAAATACTTTCATTTTCTTATATTTCACAAGTCAATCAATTATCTCTCTCTCCCTCTTTCCCTCTTTCTATATTTTATCCTTCTCAATCGTCATATCGTACAAGATGATCTTTAACTTTTTTCTGGCTGGTTGTCCATTTATTGATATGTCCACCAATACATAAAGACAAGAAAACATAATCACCAAAACTGGGTTTTTTTTTTTTTTGCTTCTTCCAACCCGAAACACTAACGCGGTCAAACGAAACAATCATTCATCTACACATTCCCATAATAACTGAACAGCAATAGCCAGCGTTAATATGAGGGTTTGCCACTGACTGACGCTGACATTTCTAGAAATCTCTTCAGAGACATTCTTTATTTGTTTGTTGTCTGAAAACATGATATAATGTTTTCTGTTGTGGATAGTGTCTACGAGATGGCATTAATTTCTTTACGTTGTTTATATTATTTTCTGTAAAGGATGCAAAACTCCTAAATATCAACAATTTTGCGTTGTTTATGTACTACAGTTCCTGGCTAAGAACTCGTGGCGCCACTGTTTCTTTGTCTTTTTCTTTTATATATAGACACACACACACACACACACACACATATATATATATATATATATATATATATATATATATATATATGTGTGTGTGTTTGTGTCTGTATGTATGAATAAAAATTCAGCTATAGTTAAAAATATATATATTTGTAAAAAGACTACGAGCAAAGACAAAAGGAAGACATTTTTTACCGAAGCACTACGTCCTGTAATAGCCTTAGGTTTGTTTTTAATTAAGTTAATCAGTGGGTGAATCACGTTGGTTAATATTTTTTCCTTTTTTGCACACACACACACACACACACACACACACACACACACACACACACACACACACACACACACACATACATATATATATATAGGTATATATATATATATATATATATATATATATATATATATATATATACATATATGTACATATGTATATATATATATATATATATACATATATACATATACGTACGTTCATATATGTGTGTGTGTCTGTGTGTAGATTGTATACGAGCGCTTGCTCGTACATTTAATTATATTTATCCATTTGATTGCAAACACAAACACACACACACACACACATATATATATATATATATATATATAATGAAATTGAAATGTCCGATCAATATATTTATATATTTTCTGTTTAGATGTTATTTTTATTATAAACAGAATATATACTTAAATATCTTATCTATAAAAATCTCTCTATATATATTATTCTTTCTCATGTCCAGTATATGAATTCATTTAACAAAGATGGAGAAGAGATTTGAGCAACAAAAATGTTGTTCTACAGAAGGATGCTTGAAATACCTTGGTTGATACATGTGAGCAATGACAAAGTTTTAGAGAAAATTTGAACAAAAAAAATACTTAACATCAAAATGAGATAGTTGAAATTACTGGGGTATATAATTAGGATCGAGTGTTTAGAAAATCTGATACTCGGAAGACAGATTGAGGAAAAATGGACAATTAAAAACAATGAATAACTTACTAAATCAGCTTTAGTAAATGGATGAAGGAATATTGTTTAGGACAAATGATGAAAAGACTAAATTTATTAATAGCTACAAAGGACAGAAAATTGTGGAGAGCCATGATCTCTTACGTCCTGATGGAACACGACACATTAACCTGTTTTGCCTTGTATCCTGCTAATCTAGTATTTCTAGATATCAGTAGAAAATCATTGTTATAGATATATAATTTCATTTCTGGTTGAATGAAGGAAATGATACTTTACTGTCAGCTAATATTACTTTGGTAGCACAGGTTAATTATATTTTTATATACATTCATCTACAAAATCACTGTCTGAACACCGTTATATCAAGATAATAAATCAATTGGTAGATAAAATATAATGCAGTGTACATATATCTTTGGATTTCTGTTGAGTCACGCAGCATCTGTCAGCAAATTAGTCTGGTTTTAACAGACGGCGACAGCTGTGAAGCTTTCCGCTCGTTTCCAAGTCAGGTTGTTTCTGGCCTCTAACAGCGTGACAACATTACTGGTCAATATGGCTGAACCTTATCACGCCTCGTAAAATTCTGAGTATATACATATGGATATATGCTGGAGATTTTCCTGATAAACATTGAATTGTTAGTGAAAGAAAACTTCTTTTGAAGCTCAAAGTGTTTTTGTTCATTTATTTTGCGCTTAACTCAGTGGTTCATTTGCAAACGTCTCCCACGCTCTTAGTATCACCAGTAACACCTTGGAATAGAGCAATCTTGATTACTGTTAATGTCAAGTCGTGATTCAAATGACGGAACGCAGTATTTATTGAATTGAATAATGCTACCTTGCTTGTCCCACAGGTGTTTGTCTGGCAAATTACTATATAAGAGTCTATTCTGTATAATGATGGTGCTTACGACCCAAATATAACCTGGCTGCTCATAAGGAAAACAGGTTAACCTCTCTAACCATGATCTATTTGTTGTCTAGTTTGATTGTCTAAAGTTAGAGTCCAAATGTTTACTTTGTTGGATATACTATTTACTGATTGGTTTGAGATAAGCACTTTCAATTAGGTTGTGTGAACCTATTCAGAGGAAAATATTAGCAGATTATTTTTGAAAGCGTCGATTTATAAAGGTGCGAGCCACCTGATATACTGGTACTACGTATATTAACTCCAGCCAACCCTTCAGCTATCGTGGTTGTAATTCACTATAATATCGCAGAGTAACTTTTTCGGGTCTTGATTACTGATTTCATTTTTAGTGCATATGTTTATAAAGGTGGCCAACCCTCTTGCTGCTACTACGTATCGAAACTACAGACAACCCTCCAGCTATCTTGCCTTTAACTCACTATAATATCAGAAAGTAACTCCTTCCGTGTTTTGAGAGATTCCATTGAGAATCTCCGTTCTAGACTTGAAAGATTTCTCGAAAAAATAGGTTCTATTAAGAGGTACATTTTATAAATGTCGTTACGTATGTTCTAATTAGGTTCATACCAGGACCTGTTTCATGAACAAAAGGTTAGTATCACTTGACCATTTCCTATTTTCATTTAATTCCATCATCGCTGGACAAATTACTTTCGTTAAACTCGGAGTAGTGGTTCTTAAATGCTTTTCCTCCTACAGACAATGTCAACGTACTCTTTTACTAGAAAATGACATAAAGTGTATGGGTAACATCAGATAGATAACAAATCCGTGCTATTTTTGTATAAGTTTACTCAATACATTGTTAAGCATTTAACTTGATGGGTGTATGCAGCTCTTTTCAAAAAGTAAATCATGTCTTAAAACGGTAGATAGACGCACGCGTATAATTTTCAATTGACATACTTTCACGAATTTTTTTTCATGCATATTCCTGACAAACCTCATTGACAACGGCGTGTCAGTATGAACAGCAAAAGTCTTTCCAGGTATTCGTTTACAATAAGTTTGTATATATTTAAACACAGATAAGTTTGATTTCGCAGTGGAAGACGAAAACATGTGTAGCGGAGAGAATTCAGAATACTCTTTAGTCATTGAGCCAATCAAAATCTCTAAAATTTCAGCGTGGTGGGGAATCTGAGATCGTTTTACACGAGTGCAAGATATCAGGCACTCTGAATTTCGCAAGCATTTTCGAATGCTTTGCACCATATTGCCGTAAGTCTAGCCACAAGTTCTAAGTTTGTAGCAGTCAGAGTCAAATATGGTGACAGTTTTCATTCTAGGCTTGGGGGACATAGTCAGAGGAACACAGAAATTAAACTCCATTTTAGAATCGGAAAAAAAATAGAAGGTTCGCGTAAATGTCATCAAATAATGCACAAATAGCTGAGAAGGCAAGAGTCTTGATTTTTTTTCGCTTGTGTCCTCCGGTTTGGTATCCTGTAAAACAGTGGCGCTTGCAGGAGATCAAATCCTAGCACATCTTTTAAATAAGTCAACGCTATACGTAGTATTCTATCTGAATTTATCAATACTGTTGTTTGGATTATTTTACTTCCTCTGAAGTTGTCCATTCTAATTCCTCTGTTCAGAGCAACTTGTCCAACTGCGATATATCTATCGTCGTCTTTTGTTATGTAAGGTCCGCCTTTTCTCAAAGTTGTCCAGACTTTTTCAGTTTAATCTCTTATCAACCGAAGTATCGGCTTCAGTTAGATGACAATATTAATTTTCATGATAAACGAATCTGGTCTTCTCTTCTAGATTGTAAAATAAGTTTGTATTCAGCGTAAATTTATCTTTGATATTATTCGGAACAAAATTGTTGCGTTCATATATTATTATATATTATGTTTTTATCCATGGAGATATGTTCCATGATCCAAAGTGGTTGCATAAATATGTCGATAGTATATATATATATATATATATATATATATATATATATATATATATATATATATATATATAAACCAGGAACACCAAACCACAAGCTACCACAGTACCTACGTTACGACCGTTATGTTTCCTCCGGTAGATAGAATGAAAGATTTTAGTTGATTCCACCACCATTATATACGCATACTTTTACAATAAACTATCTTATCATTATATTGTATTTTAGATTATTTTTTATATATATATATATATATATATATATATATATATATATATATATATATATATATATATAAATTTTCGAGTTAACCTGCTAAAGAAATTTTCTTTTGTTATTGTAAGATACTTTGTTTAATAAATTCATTTCATTTTTGCCTTGAAAAACTTCATATTTGACGAAAAGCGTCGGCTACCATTACAGTTTTTTCCCGCTCCCACTATATATACATATTTGTATATACGATGAATGTGTATCAATGAAAGCGAAAAAGATGTTTGCATGTAAATATAATATATACATCTATTTTTTTCATGCTTAAATTTTCGCTCTTTCACGAAGAACTCAAGCACACATGGGATTAACTGACGAGATATATATTTTAAGTATATTTCTCCCGCTGTCCCTTTTACTGTGTGTCTATCGTTATTGAATCTGTGCATTCATTAAGTCGATACCACTTTTTCCCTTGTTTCTTAAGGCGATTGACGAATGTCAATTAATCACTTTAATCTTGTGTTGTAGTTGTTTTCCGTACCCGTCACTGACATTCAATAAATTTATTTTTTTAAATTTTAAATCTTTGCTCTCGGGAGGCGATGCCAATCGAAGACAATAAAGTGAGGGAGATAAGAAGATAATAAAAGCCTCAGAGGCACAACGTTTGAAATGGTTATTACTTATGTTTATCCACTGATAAGAGAATTTTTTTTTCAATCACTGGCTACGTTATATAATACAATGTTGTATAGATATATAACAGAGAAGACAAAGTATTAGAAATGAATTAATTAGACAAATCACACACACACACACACACACACACACACACACACACACACACACACACACACACACATATATATATATATATATATATATATATATATATATATATATATATATATGACAAAGTGGCACGTCATTAGACTAGATTTGTTTCTTTGACGAATCTACACATACGAACGAATGCCAATTTTTAATTTAGTTTGTTCATATATATATATATATATATATATATATATATATATATATATATGTGTGTGTGTGTGTGTGTGTGTGTGTGTGTGTGTGTGTGTGCGCTTGTGTGTGTTTACATGCGTTTTGGGTATATTAATATAGCCAATTTCATTTACATTCCTTTTTTTTTTTTTTGTTTCAAACATATTTGGCATTAAATTGTGATAACAGGTGAACTTTCAAGTATGGTGAAACGTTATAAGAATCTGGGCGCAAATTTACCGTGGATGAACTAACGATGAAAACACTTTTTTAAACATTTTCGTCTTAATAATTTATTTTCTCTTTTAATTTGAGTAGGATTTTCTTATGCCAAAATTATGGTCACTCTTGTTCACCGAAAAGAGGTTAATCACAATTTTGACTTTGAAACTGTTTCGAGAAAATAAACCGTTAAAGCTTGACTTGGTGACCCATTAACAAGACTCTTTCAAGCGTAGCGATTTTTTTAAAAATGGATGCGTATTTATTTTGAAAGTGCGCAGTATTGACTCTTCTATCTTGTTTTCTCTGAAGGAACGTGTCATTTTCTTTTATACCTTTAGGATCCTTTTTACCAACGCTTTTTCAAAAGGTTTTCATTGACGATATACAAACACAATCACGACACATTAATAATTTCCAAGAAATCACAGGATGGTTTTCGAATGTGAAGAATTCTTAAAAGTCTTGTTTTATTGTCCAGTGTTCTGTAGATGCAGGTTGTTTCGACTTTTGGTATAGCAGTTAATTCTAAATTTGCATGATGGTTACTCGGTTGTTTTTCTCGCAGGGAGACAAGCAAATTTTGACCTTCAGTCAACCGTAATGAACGTATAAAATGCTCCTTTTGCGCGCATAGGCTCGGCGTTTTATATCAAATTCTACCAGCTGAGTCTATGCAAACAAAAGGAGCAAAAGATGACCAAACGTTTCACCTGAAGACCTGGAAAAAATAAAATTGCTTTAGTGGTTTTAAGCTAGTAAACATTTTGTGGGATGGATAATTATTCTGTTACACGGTTTGGTCAATTTTGCTGTTACACCCGGTACACATACACACACACACACACACACACACACACACACACACAAACCCCCCCATATATATATATATATATATATATATATATAATATTATAAAAAATTTAACATAAGTATGTTATAAAATGTTGAAACGAAAATAGCCATTTTGTTTCACAGAGTGTGTTGAAACAAAATTTATTTTGTAGTGATTTTACTTATGTTATATTTTTTTATAAATAATAATTATATCTGCTCTACTTTTGTATTGAGCACTCTTTTAAGAATAGTAATTGTTAGTTATTGAATTCATTCCGTATATACCAATTATATACTTGTATATATATATATATATATATATATATATATATATATATATATATATATACACACATAAACTGAAAAGAGGTTACTTTGACGTGCTGTAATAGATAGGAACTAACCTCGCTTGATCAATTACGACTAAACGGTGAGGTCAATACTCCCTAGGTGCTTGATGCTTTCAGCCTTGTGTCACATCTAAGCAGCGCTTACTAAATCAGGGTACTTCGACGTAGTATAATGGTTAGCAAGCTTATCTAGTTAGATCAATTACGACTTTGTAGTAGGTTCGATCCACACTGGGTGCTCCATACATTCGGCGTTGTGCAGCATCTAAGCTACGCTTAGTAAATCACTACAGAAGGAGAGAGAAAGAGAGAGTTTGAGAGAGAAAGAAGAAGAGGCTGAAATGGGTATAGGATGAGATTTAAATGATCTGACCAGACGAGAATGACATGACGCTGAGCAGTTAACTTGGACCTAATTTGAACGGGCATAAATATGTTCTGTATTATCCGTTCCGAAACGAATTCATACGGCGTTCTTCTATTTTTAAACTGTCTGACAAACAAAAGAATTTGGAGGACTGTGGTTCTTTTCCCGCCCCTGGTACCCTTCAATCAATTTACTCAGCTCAGTCTGAGGTTTTCGTCGTTGTTGGAAACAGACAATCAATTTTCGCCAGATAGTGCTGCACTCTAACAGGCAAAGATGATTAGAGAGATTAAATATTCGATAAGTTCGAATCTATATTCGATATCTATCCTATACTGCACAGATATATCTCTCTCATTCTGATCAGATCTATCTATCGATTTCATACTGGGCAGATGTAACTCATACAGATCAGAGCTATCTATCGACTTCATACTGGTCAGATCTATCTATCTATCTATCTATCTATCTATCTATCTATCTATCTATCTATCATGCTGCAACAGAATTTGTTTATATTTTATATTCATAACAGTCATTGGTTTCTGAATTGTAACCGGTATCATTCGTATTAATTATGTTAAAACAACAAAGACTCAAGAACCTAAAACCCTTTAAGTCACTTGTGATTTCGCCAATGTGAAGATTAATCAATAGTAAATAACAAAAATAACAATTGTGTGTGGTGTGTGGGAAGGAGAAAAGGTCAATAAATTGCTAGATATGTTGATAGACCGATTTGATATAGCATAATATGTAAATGAACATATCATGATTTAAATGTGTCTCTACATATATATAAAACAATGGTTTGTATTTACATAAGCAAATGCATCATGCATATATATATATATATATATATATATATATATATATATATATATATATATATAATAATTATCAGTATATATATATATATATATATATATATATATATATATATATATATATATATATATATATATATATAAAGAAATATAGTCTTAAGGTGTGCTATATTTATGGGATAAAGTGCTCAATATCAGAGATAGATTTGTAAATATAAAAAGTGAACATATAGTCAATCGTCAGGCCTGACGATTTCATATATATGAAACAGACTGTCGCCCTAATTGTTGACTTAACATGAAACAGACTTTATATTTATATATATATATATATATATATATATATATATATATATATATATATACTGATAGGTAGATAGATACTCATAGAAAGACAGACAAATGAGGCAGGGTGACCATAGGAACCAATACTGCATTGTGAATATCTGAAGGTCACTAAAAGTACGTGTAAATGACAGACCCCATGCAGTAATTTCCTATTTATAACCGGTCTTTACACGATACTGAGCATCATTCACTTTTTATATATATATATATATATATATATATATATATATATATATATATATATATATATATATATATATATATATATATATATTGAATTTTAAACAGATTGTTCATACAAAATGATATAGTGTTCGAGTTTACATTATTTACAGAGGAACAATATCATAAAGACTGTGCTTACTGAGATAGACAGTCGGGTTATAGCAATCGGCATGACATGGTGACTCATTTTCATGTCTCAAGAAGCGACATGGTCTGAAGATCGAATAGAAAATAGATGTTTAGAACAGAGAATTCATTCTATGTCCATACTGTGTCTTCTCTCTCTCTCTCTCTCTCTCTCTTTGTCTCTATATATATATATATATATATATATATATATATATATATATTATATTATTATTATTATTATTATTATTATTATTATGACGAAATCGACAGACATTTTGTATCAATTAATTTCAATGATCAACTATTCAAAGTTACGAACAATCCTTCTCAAACAAGAAGGAAATTCTGTCAGAACTAGCGCGAAATTCTTTTCGGGAGAAAAGTACAGGAAATATAGCCCAAACTTTCGATAAGTCATCTTCAGGGTAGATAAAGACAATTGGTGTTTCGTAGAACTAGTCGGTTTTGTGACTTAGGTACAGAGTCGAAAGGTAAAAGTTTTGATCATTTTTACAATAATTTTCTTTCAAAATGAACCACGGACAATTTCTGATGGAATTACCTCCTTGTCTGAGATTGGATTATTCGTAGCATAAAGTCGATTAAAATTAATGAAAAATAATGAGTGCCATCTTTAACAGTATCTACGTACAGAGTGTCTGCTGCCTAAATACAGTGAATATATATATATATATATATATATATATATATATATATATATATATATATATATATATATATATATATATATATATATATATATATATATATATATATATATATATATATATATATATATATATATATATATATATATATATATATATATATATATATATATATATATATATATATATATATATATATATATATATATAGAGAGAGAGAGAGAGAGAGAGAGAGAGAGACAGACAGACAGAGACACAGACAGAGAGATAGGGAGGAGAAAATAATTGTCTGAATTCCATTATTTCTATGAGCACAATGTCTCTATTTTACAAATACATTTTCCGTTAGTGAGCTTATCTATGTATATAACAGGTTGAAACAAAATAATTATATTATACACACACACAAATATATATATAACGAGAGAGACTGAAACTGATGAATTAACCCAGGTTCACCAATTCACATCAGTGCAGCTATATATATATATATATATATATATATATATATATATATATATATATATATATATAGGGAGAGAGGAGAGAGAATGAGAAAGAGAGAGAAAGTGAGAGAGTCGGATAATACTAATACATGAAGCGTCATCAAAACCACCCAAGCGTATCTAATAACAATAGACAAGATATATTGAGGTTCTCATGAAATTTATCCTCAAAGCCGATCCCAAATAGTTTGAACGGAAAGCTCTTTCGGGCAGTATGCCAAAATCGGACTATTATCATAATGCCTGGATTGATCGAACTTTCGTCTAGACAGATGAGACTCCCAAAGCGACTACACATAAGAATTATCTCCCTTTCAAGTTCTCTTTGTCTTTTAACGTGAATTTCAGTTCAGTGCCACCGTGATTGAAATCTATTACTCTATGCATAAGATTCGTCCTTTAGTGTCTCAATGCGCAATATTGTCGATCTGTCTTTGTCAGCAGAGCAACTGTTCCATTGATCCCGTTATCAACGATGCAATGAAATTTGGACTTCTCTGTTTATTTGTTTATTGATAAATGTGTTCATATATTTCGCGACATTTCTAGTTAATTATATTTTCGTTCGATTGGCTCCACGTGGATTATCCACTTTTCTACTTCACGTGGTCTATTTTAGACTGTACTGTATTTTATCCAATATTTAGTCATCATAATAATCGACAGTTTTATTTTTTATTAAGAGTAGTATTAGTAATAGTTGTATTGTTTGATCTACAAGCACAAGAAATTTGGACAGAAGTGACTAACTTTCTTCTACCATTGGACAGATCTCGCTTCTTTTCATCCTGATTCGATTTTGATTTAATTAATTTATTTTTTACAGTTTATCAAGCTTTTGCATGTTATTTAATTTCAAAAAATATTTTCTGGACTGTAAGAATTTTTGGAGATAATCATGATTTTTACCGATGCAAGATCTATTACTTAACACATAGCTGATGAGAGATGAGGTAGATTCATACAGTTCCGAAGGGCATTTTAACGTAAGTGAATTTTATATTCGAACCCGACTGGAAATGTGACTCTCCGAACTCCAGTGTACAATTTTCAATTTTCCACTACACCAACCGGACACCCAAGGTTATAAACACATGATATTCTCAAGCGATCATCCATCTAGGTACTGAACATTTTCGACGTTGCTTAACTTCTGTGAACATAAGAAAACTGGTGTTTCAAAGTGATATGGCCGTATGCCCTCATCCTAAATAGAGCTCCAACTTTTGAAGATTTCTGTATGTGTCCTACATTTGACATTGACACCAATCGTTTTACAATCATTTCGTAAGTTCTCTATTTATAGTGCCGAATTCCACTCACTTCACTGGCTACAAATAATACACTTCCCATAATAAAACATCATAGATTTTTGGTTTTACCTCTTTGTCAATCTATATATTGTCTCCAGGGCATGCAGTATCTAAGAAGATATATATCATTTCTTCTTTACCTACTGCCACCATATTTGTTTTTTTATTGGGGTGGTCAATACTTCATGGTCACGCTGGATCTTGACATTCCGCAATATTTTATACTTGTCATTTTCGATGACTCCTTATGAACTTTGTCGATACGACGATTTTTGCTGCATAATTACCAATGTATCATTCTTGAAAAATTATCATGGCTCCTTTTGTATTTGCTGTATGCCAATTTTGTGCATTCACTCACAAAATGCCACACTTTTTTCTCATTAATACCACACATACTGCACTTTTCTTTTTCAAGTGTGGGGTCGATATTTAACAGATTTTTTTATTATTATTATTATTCATAATAATAATAGCAATGATAATGATGATAACAATAAGTATTATTATATAATTAATATTATATAACAAAAGTAGTAATTATTACTTTCATTATTATAATTATTATTTATCAGTCTATTTTTCTATGAGAACATTATGAATTTATTTGCTAGTAATATTGCGGTTATTAATCACTAGCAGCATGGCCCGCCGTTGCCCGTGCTTGATTCAAAAATCGTACAACTCATACAGCAATCGCTATCAATTAACTTAAAATATTTTTGCCCTTCTTTGCCTTTAAAGGAGTGCCGTGCTGATGTTGCTACATGCCTTACTTCTTGCCTATCTCACACTGCGAATTTTTTCTAAGCTCTATACTAAACATTAAATCTGTTACGAAAAAAGAACTAAACAAAATGAACATTACGAAAAAAGAACTAAACAAAATGAACACAAAACGATCAGCTTTAAAAAAGGACTCGTAACTGGAAAAACCGAATGAAAAAGGAATGTTAACAACAAATACTTTTTCACACCCACCCAGTTCTGCGGAATCAGAATCAACATTGAGTTTAAGCAAGCGAATGTGCTAATTGGAGTAAAGTGCCATGCAGATTTAAATTTTTCCCACTTGTGACGAATGCAGCTATCGATTTTTTTTTTGCATGCTAGCATGCTAGTTAACATTCGTGTCAGTCAGCTGTTGGCTCTCACGCTGGCCAATAGAATCTTCCTGCCTATTCGTAGCAGCCAGCTATAGGCTCTCACTCTGGCCAGTAGAAAATGGCCGCAAACTACATGAAAACTGCTGTAGAAGCATGAAAAAATCGATTATTTCCACTATCGATGAGAGTTGGGAAATGCAACGTCAGTCTTGGCCTTTCCACTTACTTGGAGCATGTGCATGTAAATTTTGGTGCAAATCCGTCGAAAATTGCGGCCGTGCATTCGTTGCTTACATACACACACATCCTGCCTTTTATAGATAGAGATACAGTATATGAAAGAGAGAGAATAAATATGATAAAAAAAAAAACATTGTGCAGCGATATTGATTTCCATACATATGCTTGTA